CAAATAAAACTGTGAAGGACCTCAGTGTTACTCTGGAACCTTATCTCTCTTTTGACTAACATATCAAGAATATCTAAAGGACAGCTTTTATCCATCTTCGTAACATTTCAAAAAGCAGAAACTTTTTGTCCAAAAATGACACAGAAAAGCTAATCCATTGTCACGTTCGTTGAATACAGGATTGGACCAAGGTGCAGCATGGAATGCATATATGTTTATTTACGAAGTTAACACACGACAAAACAACAAAAGCAACGTAACGTGAAGCTCACAATGGCTACACACAAACAAGAGTCAAGATCCCACAACATAGGTAGGCAAAATGGCTACCTAAGTATGATCCCCAATCAGAGACAACAATCGACAGCTGCCTCTGATTGGGAACCACACCCGGCCAACATAGAAATACAATAACATAGAATCTATACATAGAAATTCACACCCTGACCAAACCAACGAGAAACAACAGGCAACAACAGGCATTGGTCAGGGTGTGGTCCTCTGTAGCTCAGCTGGTAGAGCACGGCGCTTGTAACGCCAAGGTAGTGGGTTCGATCCCCGGGACCACCCATACATAAAAATGTATGCACGCATGACTGTAAGTCGCTTTGGATAAAAGCGTCTGCTAAATGGCATATTTATTTTTTTAAAGGTCAGGGCGTGACATCCATGCTTTTGTCACTTCTAGATTAGACTACTGCAATGCTCTACTTTCCGGCTACCCGGAAAAGCACTAAATAAACTTCAGTTAGTGCTAAACACGGCTGCTAGAATCCTGACTAGAACCAAAAGATGTGATTGTATTACTCCAGTGCTAGCCTGTTAAGGCTAGGGCTGTTTTCAAGGTTTTACTGCTAACCTACAAAGCATTACATGGGCTTGCTCCTACTTACAGTGGGGAAAAAAAGTATTTAGTCAGCCACCAATTGTGCAAGTTCTCCCACTTAAAAAGATGAGAGAGGCCTGTAATTTTCATCATAGGTACACGTCAACTATGACAGACAAAATGAGGAAAAAAAATCCAGAAAATCACATTGTAGGATTTTTTATGAATTTATTTGCAAATTATGGTGGAAAATAAGTATTTGGTCAATAACAAAAGTTTCTCAATACTTTGTTATATACCCTTTGTTGGCAATGACACAGGTCAAACGTTTTCTGTAAGTCTTCACAAGGTTTTCACACACTGTTGCTGGTATTTTGGCCCATTCCTCCATGCAGATCTCCTCTAGAGCAGTGATGTTTTGGGGCTGTCGCTGGGCAACACAGACTTTCAACTCCCTCCAAAGATTTTCTATGGGGTTGAGATCTGGAGACTGGCTAGGCCACTCCAGGACCTTGAAATGCTTCTTACGAAGCCACTCCTTCGTTGCCCGGGCGGTGTGTTTGGGATCATTGTCATGCTGAAAGACCCAGCCACGTTTCATCTTCAATGCCCTTGCTGATGGAAGGAGGTTTTCACTCAAAATCTCACAATACATGGCCCCATTCATTCTTTCCTTTACACGGATCAGTCGTCCTGGTCCCTTTGCAGAAAAACAGCCCCAAAGCATGATGTTTCCACCCCCATGCTTCACAGTAGGTATGGTGTTCTTTGGATGCAACTCAGCATTCTTTGTCCTCCAAACACGACGAGTTGAGTTTTTACCAAAAAGTTATATTTTGGTTTCATCTGACCGTATGACATTCTTCCAATCCTCTTCTGGATCATCCAAATGCACTCTAGCAAACTTCAGACGGGCCTGGACATGTACTGGCTTAAGCAGGGGGACACGTCCTGCACTGCAGGATTTGAGTCCCTGGCGGCGTAGTGTGTTACTGATGGTAGGCTTTGTTACTTTGGTCCCAGCTCTCTGCAGGTCATTCACTAGGTCCCCCCGTGTGGTTCTGGGATTTTTTCTCACCTTTCTTGTGATCATTTTGACCCCACGGGGTGAGATCTTGCGTGGATCCTCAGATCGAGGGAGATTATCAGTGGTCTTGTATGTCTTCCATTTCCTAATAATTGCTCCCACAGTTGATTTCTTCAAACCAAGCTGCTTACCTATTGCAGATTCAGTCTTCCCAGCCTGGTGCAGGTCTACAATTTTGTTTCTTGTGTCCTTTGACAGCTCTTTGGTCTTGGCCATAGTGGAGTTTGGAGTGTGACTGTTTGAGGTTGTGGACAGGTGTCTTTTATACTGATAACAAGTTCAAACAGGTACCATTAATACAGGTAACGAGTGGAGGACAGAGGAGCCTCTTAAAGAAGAAGTTACAGGTCTGTGAGAGCCAGAAATCTTGCTTGTTTGTAGGTGACCAAATACTTATTTTCCACCATAATTTGCAAATAAATTCATAAAAAATCCTACAATGTGATTTTCTGGAGAAAAAAAATCTCAATTTGTCTGTCATAGTTGACTTGTACCTATGATGAAAATTACAGGCCTCTCTCATCTTTTTAAGTGGGAGAACTTGCACAATTGGTGGCTGACTAAATACTTTTTTCCCCCACTGTATCTCTCCGATTTGGTCCTGCCGTACATACCTACACGTACGCTATGGTCACAAGACGCAGGCCTCCTTATTGTCCCTAGAATTTCTAAGCAAACAGCTGGACAGCAGGGCTTTCTCCTATAGAGCTCCATTTTTATGGAATGGTCTGCCTATCCATGTGAGAGACGTAGACTCGGTCTCGGCCTTTAAGTCTTTACTGAAGATTCATCTCTTCAGTAGGTCCTATGATTGAGTGTAGTCTGGCCCAGGGGTGCGAAGGTGAACGGCAAGGCACTGGAGCGACGAACCGCCCTTGCTGTCTCTGCCTGGCCGGCTCCCCTCTCTCCACTGGGATTCTCTGCCTCTGACCCTATTACGGGGGCTGAGTCACTGGCTTACTAGTGCTCTTCCATACTGTCCCTAGGAGGGGTGCGTCACTTGAGTGGGTTGAGTCACTGACGTGATCTCTTCCTGTCCGGATTTGCGCCCCCTCAGGCTCGTGCGGTGGAGGAGATCTTCGTGGGCTATACTCAGCCTTGTCTCAGGGTAGTAGGTTGGTGGTCTGTTGATATCCCTCTGGTGGTGTGGGGGCTGTGCTTTGGCAAACTGGGTGGGGTTATATCCTGCCTGGTTGGCCCTGTCCGGGGGTAACGTCGGAAGGGGCCACAGTGTCCCCCGACCCACCCCTGTCTCCGTCTCCAGTATCTATGCTGCAATAGTCTATGTGCCTGGGGGCTAGGGTCAGTCTGTTATATCTGGTGTAATTCTCCTGTCTTATCTGGTGCCTAATTCTCTCTCTCTCCCTCTCTCCCTCCCCGAGGACCTGAGCCCTAGGATCAGGACTACCTGGCCTGATGACTCCTGGCTGTCCCCAGTCTACCTGGTCGTGCTGCTGCTACAGTTTCAACTTTTCTGCCTGCGGCTATGGAACCCTGACCTGTTCACCGGACGTGCTACCTTGTCCTGGACCTGCTATTTTCGACTCTCTCTCTCTACCGCACCTGCTGTCTCAACCTCTGAATGCTAGGCTATGAAAAGCCAACTGACATTTACTCCTGAGATACTGACCTGTTGCACACTCTACAACCACTGTGATTATTATTTGACCCTGCTGTTCATCTATGAACGTTTGATAATCTTGAAGAACAATCTGGCCTTAATGGCCATGTACTCTTATAATCTCCACGCGTCACAGCCAGAAGAGGACTGGCCACCCCCTCAGAGCCAGGTTCCTCTCTAGGTTTCTTCCTAGGTTCCTGCCTTTCTAGGGAGTTTTTCCTAGCCACTGTGCTTCTACATCTGCATTGCTTGCTGTTTGGGTTTTTTGGCTGGGTTTCTGTATAGCACTTTGTGACATCTGCTGATGTAAAAAGGGCTTTATAAATACATTTGATTGATTGATTGATTGATTGATTGATTTACAATCTTCGCTGCAGGCTTGTTTGTTAGGAGCCTATCTATGGATGATGGCAAGAAGGAAGGTACCTTACAATGCAGCACATAGACAGGAGGAAGCACCCTTTATGGACGCACAAGGTTTTTTATGTAAAAACATAGATTTGACTATTATCATCATTTTATGCCATTATGGAGATAGAGTTGGCTATTGATTTAGATGGATGTATAGAGAGAATTAGCCACATAGCCCCAAAAGATAGATGGACACACATACAGGAAGGCAGGCAGGCAGGTAGCTAATGAGAAGGGACCTATTTGAACTGCTGAGGCCATAGTAGAAAATGCATTATAAGACTGACCTCTAGTGGAGGTTCAGTAGAGTATGCTATAGCTTTATCTTGTCCATGTATTTATGGACCTTGTACTTTTCCTTTCATTGGGGTCTTTGAAATAAAGACTAGGTTAGAAGAATAACCAAAAAGGCGAGCCTAAGCAATGTTGTTAATTAAATAAAAATATAAATATTGGGTGCTGACATTAAAAACGTAGGCCTATAAATTTAATAATTTCACTGTATAAAATGATGATTATCCAAGTAGCCTAGCTTTCGGCTACCTAATTAGATTATTATCCACCGTGCTAAATCGTATGGTTGGTTATTAAGTTTAGCCTATAATATTAACACCGTAGCCTAGTTGGAGTCAAAACTCATACCCTGCGGTTATTCCGCATTCAGCAGCAACTCCTTGCAACAGCATGCCTCGCCTGTGTCACTTCAGCTGGAGTGTCTTCATAGTCGGACTCCGTTGCAAAACGTTTGGTCTATTGCAAAACGTTTTGCAACGGAAACCGTTTACGGTTTACTCTAGGAACCAAACGGAACCAAACCGAGCAAACGGAACGAAACGGGGAGAGACCTACCTGCATTTGTCTAATAGAAACACTCGTTTTCGTTGCAAAACGTTTTCCGTTTGGAGTAAACGGTTTCCGTTGCAAAACGTTTTGCAAAAAAATCAAACTTTTTGCAACGGGATTGGAGTAATGAATGCACCCCTGTAGTCTGGCTTGCTGGCGGGACGCTTTCGTTCGTCCTCCTCGACTATTGAAATAAGAACACACCCACCGAGTTTGACACACCTTTACTTTGGAGTTAACTTCTGCACATTCTTTCCCGGATCGAACAAAGTCCAAAATGACAGCGCAAAATAAGTGTTCTGAACTTGCTACGCAAATATTAAAAGAGGCTCCCACGTCGAGAAAAGCTCTTATTGACAACTACAACAACCTTCACAAAGTGGCCGATTACTGTGAAAATAATTATTTAGGCCTACAGGTGAGCATTTTTGGCAATGATAACAGAATTAACTAACTTAATTCTTCTAATAGGCTTAGTCTATTTATTTGTTTATTTAATATATTTTGGGGAAATTGTGAATTACTTTTACTTGCTTAGTGTGATCTTTCTATTTCTGTCTTTGGAACAAAAACTGTACAATGCCTTCTTTATAACGTAGTTATAAAACATTGTACATTTTAAGTTAAAGCCTTAGGCCTATACGTTTTGAGGGAACATAGAGGCATATGAAAGGGCAAGTTGTGCCCTTTTCTGTATATCATAGTATTCTGACTGTGTCGAAAAGTATAGGAACACTGTAAGAAGTTTTGATATACCATATCTTTGCCAAGAAAATAATGCTTGAAAAATGATTAAGGATGTGGACACATGGAGGGGTTTGGAGGAGACCAAGGCTTTGACCACTCAGGCTTTGGCCAGTGTGGCCTACCAGATCAACAGCCTAGCCACTTCTGTCCTGAGACTGCTGGACACCCAGGCCATGCAGCTGAAAGACATGGAGAACTCCCTCAACCTCCTCTCTCTGGTGAGAAACACTGCCACTTTATGGGTCAGTTAGTTCATGAGACTACAGTGCAGTATGGGACTTTTGCTCAATAGACGAAGTACAGTACAGTTTTGCGTCCCACATGGCACCCTATTCCATATATAGTGCACTACCTCACTATATAGGTAACAGGGTGCCATTTGGGACCCAAACTCAGTGTTGTAATACCTGTGCTATCTCCCAGGCTGTAGCTATCCATCAGGAGAAGGTGTCTCGGAGAGAGATGGGAGTTTTCACCATAGTAACGAAGTTGGCTTGCACCAAATTAATGAGCCCTCCCAAAGCTGGCCGGGAGCCGGAGGGTTGCTACATCAGAAGATCGATATCCTTCACCGAACTGGACACACTGGGCCACAGCTTTCATGTGAGGACAGCTGGGACAATGTTTCCCTTATGGATACATTTATCCCATTAGACTTAGCATAGATTTTAGTTTTTTTGTAATATGATATTGATTCTACAATGCCAGCAGCACATAAACAAGACTGTCCACAGATAATAAATAGCAGTCTACATTACTGTCATTAGACTTACTAGCACTTAGTTACTTATTAGCACCTACTTACTTTGTCTGTAATTCAATCCCGCCAGAGCAATGCTATTGGGCCATCTAGATGATGATGACTTTAGAGCAGTAATATTGTTGTGGTGTTTTTCTCAATGTATTGTCTTCCCCAGCTCAATGAGTTGCAGCCTCGGAAAAGAACAGGGACCACAGAGAGCGTGCGGAGTACAGGGAGCTGTGGCCCTGTGGCGTGTCCTGTTGCTCCTGATACCCAGCCTGGGGAACCCTCCTCAGCCAGCGTCAATAAGGATCTCTATAGGTAAGCACAGCACTAGTTAGGGTGGTGAGTGGTGATGGGATATGGACCAGTTAGCATACTGTAGTTAAACTCATCATGAAATCCAATAATGCCCTTATAACCAGTAACACCTGTTAGTATTACATCGCTTTAACTGTCTCAAATATAAAGGGGATACATTCATTGAATGGAACCTTCTCATTCTACCCTCCCAGGTCCAATCTTGGCATTAATGTGGCCCTACCATCAGTGCCCACCGTGCCAGCCTCCTCAAACCTCACCCAAGACTGCCCACCACCCCCTCCTGGATCCACGTTTGACTCCAACATCTCACCTCCTCCTCCACCACCTGGCTCCATGGGCACTGGTCCTCCTCCACCTCCTCCTCCTGCACCCTCCATGACCTCATCGTATAACCTCCCTCCTCCTACACCGAATGCATCCCCTAATGTTCCCTCTCCGCCACCCCCTCCTCCACCTCCTCCCAGCTCATCAAATAGCTTACTCCCTCCACCTCCACCTGGTTCAATGGGTAATGCTCCACCTCCTCCTCCACCTCCTCCCAGCTCATCAAATAGCTTCCCCCCTCCTCCTCCTCCACCTCCTCCACCTGGTTCAATGGGTAATGCTCCACCTCCTCCTCCACCTCCTCCCAGCTCATCAAATAGCTACCCCCCTCCTCCTCCACCTCCTCCCAGCTCATCAAATAGCTTCCCCCCTCCTCCTCCTCCACCTCCTCCACCTGGTTCAATGGGTAATGCTCCACCTCCTCCTCCACCTCCTCCCAGCTCATCAAATAGCTTACTCCCTCCACCTCCACCTGGTTCAATGGGTAATGCTCCACCTCCTCCTCCACCTCCTCCCAGCTCATCAAATAGCTTCCCCCCTCCTCCCAGCTCATCAAATAGCTTCCCCCCTCCTCCGCCTCCTCCACCTGGTTCAATGGGTAATGCTCCTCCTCCTCCTCCTCCTCCTCCTCCTCCACCACCTCCTCCTCTCCCTGGTACCTCCACTAAGGTGCCCCCACCTCCTCCACCACCCCCACCTCCTCCTCTTCCATAACGTATATTGTTATGTCTTCCCTATCTACCTTCTGCTATGTAAGGATTACATGATAACATGGCACAGCAATGAATTGAACTGAATATGGTATGTAACAGGTATAGAGTGTGTGATCATGATTGAGTTTTTATGAATATGTATAAAACAAAATTTGATTTATTTCAATTTGCAAGTATATTGATGACAGGATTCTGCATAAAATTAAGTTTTTACATCTATATTTTGCTTTGTTGTGTATTGCAGAAATTACCTCTATGGCCACCAGTGTTATGTTATGGTCCTCCATTCAGTTATACAGTTATTCAGTCATTCAATTATACAGTTATTCTGTTATACAGTTATTCCGTTATACAGTTATTCCGTTATACGGTAATTCAGTTATACAGTTATATACTTACTCTAATATTCATTTGACAACAACAATACCACTACGAAGACCATACAACACAAACAGATCTGGGACCAGGCTACTGTAGCCTACATATCTTTCACAAAATCCCCTCCAAAAGTGCACATTCCTACCGATGTAAAGCAGCTCATTCAAACTACCCCGAACGTGTCCCAACAATGCCCAGGCTGCATTCCTCAGTTACATGCCTTAACGTGGACCCCTTGTTTTTCTCATGATCCTTTTATTCTTAATTTCCCTCCCTCTAATAGTCTTACATATATACACTGCTCAAAAAAATAAAGGGAACACTTAAACAACACAATGTAACTCCAAGACAATCACACTTCTGTGAAATAAAACTGTCCACTTAGGAAGCAACACTGATTGACAATACATTTCACATGCTGTTGTGCAAATGGAATAGATTTACATTTACGTCATTTAGCAGACGCTCTTATCCAGAGCGACTTACATGAGCAATTAGGGTTAAGTGCCTTGCTCAAGGGCACATCGACAGATTTTTCACCTAGTCGGCGTGGGGATTAGAACCAGTGACCTTTCGATTACTGGCACAACGCTCTTAACCACTAAGCTACCGGAATAGACAACAGGTGGAAATTATAGGCAATTAGTAAGACACCCCCAATAAAGAACTGGTTTTGCAGGTGGTGACCACAGACCACTTCTCAGTTCCTATGCTTCCTGGCTGATGTTTTGGTCACTTTTGAATGCTGGCGGTGCTTTCACTCTAGTGGTAGCATGAGACGGAGTCTACAACCCACACAAGTGGCTCAGGTAGTGCAGCTCATCCAGGATGGCACATCAATGCGAGCTGTGGCAAGAAGGTTTGCTGTGTCTGTCAGCGTAGTGTCCAGAGCAAGGAGGCGCTACCAGGAGACAGGCCAGTACATCAGGAGACGTGGAGGAGGCCGTAGGAGGGCAACAACCCAGCAGCAGGACCACTACCTCCGCCTTTGTGCAAGGAGGAGCAGGAGGAGCACTGCCAGAGCCCTGCAAAATGACCTCCAGCAGGCCACAAATGTGCATGTGTCTGCTCAAACGGTCAGAAACAGACTCCATGAGGGTGGTATTAGGGCCCGACGTCCACAAGTGGGGGTTGTGCTTACAGCCCAACACCATGCAGGACGTTTGGCATTTGCCAGAGAACACCAAGATTGGCAAATTCGCCACTGGCACCCTGTTCTCTTCACAGATGAAAGCAGGTTCACACTGAGCACATGTGACAGACGTGACAGAGTCTGGAGACGCCGTGGAGAACGTTCTGCTGCCTGCAACATCCTCCAGCATGACCGGTTTGGCGGTGGGTCAGTCATGGTGTGGGGTGGCATTTCTTTGGGGGGGCCGCACAGCCCTCCAAGTGCTCGCCAGAGGTAGCCTGACTGCCATTAGGGACCGAGATGAGATCCTCAGACCCCTTGTGAGACCATATGCTGGTGCGGTTGGCCCTGGGTTCCTCCTAATGCAAGACAATGCTAGACCTCATGTGGCTGGAGTGTGTCAGCAGTTCCTGCAAGAGGAAGGCATTGACGCTATGGACTGGCCCGCCCGTTCCCCAGACCTGAATCCAATTGAGCACATCTGGGACATCATGTCTCGCTCCATCCACCAACGCCACGTTGCACCACAGACTGTCCAGGAGTTGGCGGATGCTTTAGTCCAGGTCTGGGAGGAGATCCCTCAGGAGACCATCCGCCACCTCATCAGGAGCATGCCCAGGCGTTGTAGGGAGGTCATACAGGCACGTGGAGGCCACACACACTACTGAGCCTCATTTTGACTTGTTTTAAGGACATTACATCAAAGTTGGATCAGCCTGTAGTGTGGTTTTCCACTTTAATTTTGAGGGTGACTCCAAATCCAGACCTCCATGGGTTGATAAATTTGATTTCCATTGATAATTTATGTGTGATTTTGTTGTCAGCACATTCAACTATGTAAAGAAAAAAGTATTTAATAAGATTATTTCATTCATTCAGATCTAGGATGTGTTATTTTAGTGTTCCCTTAATTTTTTTGAGCAGTGTATATCATATCTCTTATACAGTATGTTTAATAGCATTATCTCCATTTCAGTCTCCATTTTATGTGCCTCAAAGCAATTGGCCGATGTAGGCTATGTCCCAAATAGCATCCTATTCCCTATATAGTGCACTACTTTTGACCAGAGCCCTATGGGTACAGTTCTGGTCAAAAGTAGTGCACTAAATAGAGAATAGGGTGCCATTTGGGATGCCGATGTAGCTTCAAAGTGTTGTGAGTCACTGATAGTACCTGACAGTAAACAGGCTTAGGGTGCTGTGTCATCGAACAGGTCAATAACGGCTGTAAAAGTGTTTGTATTTGCGTACTTCCTGTGACAGATTATGAAAGCAACTCACAGGTTGACATACAGGTTACTGTACATTCAGAGGTCTTGGTTGTTAAGGTAAGGTGCATTTTGAATACATCTATTAATATGAAAAGCAGTAATAATGTAGTAATCATGCATTGGTGGCATGCTATTGTATGACTGTTGTCTTACTCCAAATCCAACTGATTTTCATTTAGACCTTGAAGTACATTAGTACATCATACAAGTACCAAATTCATTCAACCCAGTTCAATTATTTTAACATGGTCATGGTTTGGTAGAGGGAGGCAGCATAAAAACTACGCCTCCCTCTTTGTAACAGTATATAAAGCGTGCTTTTTAGCACAACTTTTCCATTAGCTTGTAGCATTGTATTAAAGGGCTGTTGACAGGGGCTTTGTCATTGGGCATTTATGGACAAAAGGGTCAAAGGTTTATGCTCCAGTTTACTTGTTTTAATTTGTAAAAGAGGTCAAATTAGTACAATTAAATGTAGCTTATTCGGTTGTCTGTGACTTCAGGGGTGTAATCATTACGCCGATTCTGTTGCAAAACGTTTTGTCTGTTGCAAAACATTTAGCAACATAAACTGTTTACTTCAAAAGGAAAACGTAAACAAGAGTTTCTAATGGACAAATTCAGGTAAGTCCCTTCCCGTTTCGTTCCGTTTGCTCTGTTTGCTTCCGATTGATTCTTTAACGGTAAACCGTTTCCGTAATAAATACACCCCTGGTCACATCTATCTCTGCTGATCAGTGATCAGTGGCCTGCTCAAAGTCCGCTGCGTTTGGCCTTTAGAATACATTTCAAGGAAGCAGACTTGATAGACTTGTGTAATTCTTACCTACACTACCAGTCAAAAGTTTGGACACACCTACTCATTCAACGTTTTTTCTTTATTTGTACTATTTTTTACATTGTAGAATAACAGTGAAGACATCAAAACTATGAAATAACACATATGGAATTATGTAGTAACCCAAAAAGTGTTAAACAAATCAAAATATATTTGAGATTTGAGATTCTTCAAATAGCCACCTTTTGCCTTGATGACAGCTTTGCACACTCTTGGCATTCTCTCAACCAGCTTTATGAGGTAGTCACCTGGAATGGGTTTCAATTAACAGGTGTACCTTCTTAAAAGTTAATTTGTGGAATTTCTTTCCTTCTTAATGCGTTTGAGCCAATCAGTTGTGTTGTGACAAGGTAGGGGGGTATACAGAAGATAGCCCTATTTGGTAAAACACCAAAGCCATATTATGGCAAGAACAGCTCAAATAAGCAAGGAGAAATGACAGTCCATCATTACTTTAAGACATGAAGGTCAGTCAATACGGAACATTTCAAGAACTTTGAAAGTTTCTTCAAGTGCAGTCGCAAAACCCATCAAGCGCTATGATGAAACTTGCTCTCATGAGGACCATCACAGGAATGGAAGACCCAGAGTTACCTCTCCTGCAGAGGATACGTTCATTAGAGTTACCACAGCCTCAGAAATTTCAGCCCAAATAAATGCTTCACAGAGTTCAAGTCACAGACACATCTCAACATAAACTGTTCAGAGGGGACTGTGTGAATTAGGCCTTCATGGTCGAAACTGGTTGAGAGAATGCCAAGAGTCTGCAAAGCTGTCATCAAGGCAAAGGGTGGCTATTTGAAGAATCTCAAATATAAAATATATTTTGATTTGTTTAACACTTTTTTGGTTACTACATAATTCCATATATGTTATTTCATAGTTTTGATGTCTTCACTATTATTCTACAATGTAGAAAATAGTAAAAATAAAGAAAAACCCTTGAATGAGTAGGTGTGTCCAAACTTTTGACTGGTACTGTACATTTTATGTAATCTGGGGCACCTAGAAAATGAAATGACTTCTGAGAATGTACTATGTAAGTGGTTCTCAACCGGTCACAAAAAGGCGTTGAGATGGGTTATTTCTGGGTCATGAAGCTGATTCTGACATTGAATAGGAATTGAACATGACCGATTGACAAGCGCTTACTGTTGGTTCACATAGATCTTTTGAAAGTTATAATGATGAGAAGGCTGCTGAATAGAAATGTAAGGAATTTCCTTGAACTGTACCTTAGAATTCTCTTTCATGTATTCTCCACATGGAGACCGAGGCCTGTCACAACAACAGACTGTGCATCATGCAGATTGACAGTTGGTTACTTGATATAATAAAGTAAGTCTTCATTTATCTTTTTCATATTTTTTGTGATCACCTCTACCAAAGGGAAACAAACATACTGATGTTCCAATTAATACACAAATGTGGATGTACTGTATACTACACATTACAACAGTATGTGTGCAATAACATGAGGTTATATTTAAGCAATAAGGCATGAAGGGTCTGGTATATGGCCAATCTACCACGGCTAAGGGCTGTTCTTATGCACGACGCAACACGGAGTGCCTAGATACAGCACTTAGCCATGGCATATTGGCCATATACCACAAACCCCTGAGGTGCCTTATTGCTATTATAAACTGATTACTAACGTAATTAGAACAGTAAAAATTACTGTTTTGTCAAACCCATGGTATATGGTCTGATATACCACGGCTTTCAGCCAAACAGCATTCAGGGCTTGAACCACCCAGTTTATAATTTTCAAAAGACAATATCCAAATATAAAAGTTTAATATAAAATGTGATGAATTTGGCGTACAAATTATAGCTATTATTTTGATCTCATGGATGTTCAGTCCTTGCATCCATAGCTATATACACTACCAGTCAAAAGTTTGGACACATCACATTTACATTTTAGTCATTTAGCAGACGCTCTTATCCAGAGCGACTTACAGTTAGTGAGTGCATACATTTTTGTTTTCATACACATCTACTCATACAAGGGTTTTTCTTTATTTTTACTATTTTTTACATTGTAGAATAATAGTGAAGTCATCAAAACTATGAAATAACACATATGGAATCATGTAGTAACCAAAAAAGTGTTAAACAAATCTAAATATATTTTATATTTGAGATTCTTCAAATAGCCACCCTTTGCCTTGATGACAGCTTTGCACACACTTGGCATTCTCTCAACCAGCTTCTTGAGGTAGTCACCTGGAATGCATTTCAATTAACAGGTGTGCCTTCTTAAAAGTTAATTTGTAGAATTTATTTCCTTCTTAATGCGTTTGAGCCAATCAGTTGTGTTATGACAAGGTAGTGGGGGGTATACAGAAGATAGCCCTATTTGGTAAAAGACCAAGTCCATATTATGGCAAGAACAGCTCAAATAAGCAAAGAGAAATGACAGTCCATCATTACTTTAAGACATGAAGGTCAGTCAATATGGAAAATGTGAAGAACTTTGAAAGTTTCTTCAAGTGCAGTCGCAGAAACCATAATAATAATAATAATAATATGCCATTTAGCAGACGCTTTTATCCAAAGCGACTTACAGTCATGCGTGCATACATTTTTATGTATGGGTGGTCCCGGGGATCGAACCCACTACCCTGGCGTTACAAGCGCCATGCTCTACCAGCTGAGCTACAGAGGACCACACCATCAAGCACTATGATGAAACTGGCTCTCATGAGGACCGCCACAGGAATGGAAGACCCAGAGTTACCTCTGCTGCAGAGGATAGGTTCATTATGGAAGTCCCAGAGTTACCAGCCTCAGAAATTGCGGCTCAAATAAATGCTTCACAGAGTTCAAGTCACAGACACATCTCAACATCAACTGTTCAGAGGAGACTGCGTGAATCAGGCCTTCATGGTCGAATTGCTGCAAAGAAGAAGAGACTTGCTTCGGCCAAGAAACATGAGCAATGGACATTAGACCGGTGGAAATTTGTCCTTTGTGAGACGTGGTATGGGTGAACGGATGATCTCTGCATGTGTAGTTCCCACCATAAAGCACGGAGGAGGAGGTGTTATGGTGTGGGGGTGCTTTGCTGGTGACACTGTTTGTGATCTATTTCGAATTCAAGGCACACTAAACCAGCATGGCTACCACAGCATTCTGCAGTGATACGCCATCCCATCTGGTTTGGGCTTAGTGGGACTATCATTTGTTTTCAACAGGACAATGACCCAACACACCTCCAGGCTGTGTAAGGGCTATTTTACCAAGTAAGAGAGTGATGGAGTGCTGCATCAGATGACCTGGCCTCCACAATCCCCCGACCTCAACCCAATTGAGATGGTTTGGGATGAGTCGGAGCACAGAGTGAAGGAAAAGCAGCCAACAAATGCTCACTCTATTTACATTTACATGTAAATCCACCTTACTACATTTAGCAGACACTCTTATCCAGAGTGACTTACAAATTGGTGCATTCAACTTATGATAGCCAGTGGGACAACCACTTTTTTTATGGGGGGGTGGGGGAGGTAGAAGGATTACTTTTATAGTGGGAACTCCTTCAAAACTGTAGGAAAAGCATTCCAGGTGAAGCTGGTTGAGAGAATTCCAAGAGTGTGCAAAGCTGTCATCAAGGCAAAGGGTGGCTATTTGAAGAATCTCAAATATAACATATATTTTGATTTGTTTAACACTTTTTTGGTTACTACATTATTCCATATGTGTTATTTCATAGTTTTGATGTCTTCACTATTATTCTACAATGTAGAAAATAGTAAAAATAAAGAAAAACCCTTGAATGAGTAGGTGTGTCCAAACCTTTGACTGGTACTGTATGTCTATGAATTTGAGAGTGGTTACATTTCTCCAGCCCCATCCCTCAACTGTTTACCAAAACTGTAGTTGTTTGAACTGCAGATTCCCCATTTAAGTTAGCCTACCTCTAGTTTCTTTGATATCTGCAGATTTTCTACCAAAGCATTGCAACAGACCTCACACAAGACAAAAAGAGTTGCTGTATTTAGAAAAGGCTCTTTGTTATATTACTATAAAAATAATTGCAGATCTGACCTAGGGTGGTCAAGCAGCTGCCTCCGGATCACGCATACTGCTTCAGCATGGGTTCGAAATTGGCCCACTGCTATTTCAACACACCTTCTCCTCTATTTTTACTCTCTTCTTCTGTCCTATCCAATAAACAAAAAATTTGAAAATAATTATAAATGTACCATCACCGCATGTCTATAATTACACCTTGTTAATGTACTGTACTAAAGCACTATGTTACACAATCCCATTCAAAAGAGCACATTCATTAGTTTGACTTGCCCAACTTCGCCTGGCAATAGAGAGACCACTTAAAATTATGATTTCATGATATACAGTACAGGGAATAGTTTAACAAAGATGTCAACGAGCAAAACTAAGTGACGATCCAGATTTCGCCTAAATAGACATACCCAAAAGTAACTGCTATTCATGTGTAATTACATGATTCTGTCATGCAAAAACGTGGTATATTTGGAAAGAAGACATCTGGGAGATTACGAGGAAATGATCAGAAGATAGATAGGAGTTACATAGTTCAGAATACACAAAGTTAAGCACACACAAAATACCCGTTTTTATAATTTCTTATTTTGAAAGTCATCTTTCATTGACAAGCTATAAGTGAATTATTGATATCTAGAGCTGGAAACACATCAGATGGCTTCCACAACATGTGAACAATATCAGAAAAAAATGGGATTGATAGACCTAACAACTAGAAATAGGCCGATATTTTAGTAAGTGTTGTCAGGTGTGGTCATGGGACGTTTCTAAGTCTCTGAGCCAGGTAGCAATAGTTTGCATTACGCATAAAAGGTTCTAGGCCTTGCTTTGTCCCACCCAGGTTGACTGCATATCCCTGGAAAGCTTATCTCATTGGCTACAAGACTGTCAAGATGCCATAGTAGCCAATCACCTGTGTAATGGACGCCTACAGCGCGTAAGCAGGTAACATCATATTTTTGATGCGCAAAGATATAGTCACTCAGTGGACATTCGATGTTGCATTAAGTCATACATCATCAGATGGCAATAGGCTAGATTTGTTCCTACCAACCTATGGATTAATTTGATACCCCCCATGTAGCTATAGTTCAAACACAGACCAAATCGAAGCTTACCTTGTAAGATGTTTGCTGTTTGGTGAAAACGTTGTGTAAAATAAACATTTTGACTCTCGGGGCTGGTGATCAGTAACAGTAGTTCACAGGCAGACAAATAAGATATCATCATGATCTGTGGAGTCCCGGCTTTCGGTGTGTATCAACATATTCCATGTTTATTTTGTTTATGCTTCACAACGCTAACCAGAATGTAGGTAGTAGGCGTCTTAAAATGAGGTCGTCGGCTCGGCCTGCCCTTATAAATTCGTATGCCCATATATGGTAGTAAGTCACACCAAAGATTTGAAGGCACCGATCAATAGCCAAGATACTCAGCTTTCCGCAGACCCTGCTTTTGCAGATAGGGGCTACCGTTCTCATACCAGACTGAATAATAAAAATCAAATAGGGTCCCCAAATATAGGGACGTTTAAGAGGTTGTGTAATATATAGTTGTGGTTTTAGTAGACTGTCTGACTCCTGACTAAATCCTACATTCCTCAAACTACCATTCCCAGGTTCTTTATCGTGCCTTTCATATGCATAGCGCTGTACCTGCTTTGTTGCCGTAGCAAGTGGCTATGCACTCAGGAAGAAGAGTCAGATGACTCCTCTATCTATGTCATCCCTATGCATGAAGAAGAGAGGACAGAAGGACGGAGAGAGGAGCCAAGGCCCCCCAGTAGACCTCCTCGGCCCTCAAGGGCCCCAACCCCTCCACCATTACCCACGACTGTCTACAGACCTCCCTATAGGGAACTGCCGCCGTATAGCTCAGTGGACCTCATCAACCCCGCACCACCATACACTCCGGTACGACATCACTCCACTGCTAGGTTGACCTCCTCAAACTGTCAACAGACATCTTGATTATAAAGACATTCAGCGGCTGTCAATGCTTTCCCCCATTTTGTAATTTAGGGTGGAAACATCAGCCTTGCAAAACCAGACTGAATGCTGTACTCACTATGTTTCACTTGAATCAAGATAGAAAAAAAGAACTTGCTTTTAAAAACACAGGCAGTGCAATCTTCTAAGCAGTCCAGTGACCGAACCACTAGAAACATATGATCACTTCACATTCAGTGATCTACTACTAACTACACACAAACAGAGGTATCAGTGACTATAACCTTTCAACTTGGCACTAACATGAACCTGACTCCTCTCCATTGCAGTTTGACCCAAAGGACCCAGAGGACGTTCCACCTTCCTACCGAGCGGTGATAGAGGACATACCACCTGTCTACTCAGCAGTGGTGGTGCCAGATGACCTTCCATCTGCCTGGTATCCGCCACTGCCCCCAGTCTCACCCCCCTTATACCCAAGTCCAGGTTATGCCCAACCCCCGTTACCAAGACCCTAACATGGACGCAACTTGCACAATCGAGAATTCCGTTTTATCCCACAGCACTGCTACAGCCTGGTCCCAGATCTGTTTGTGCTGTCTTGCCAACACCTATAGACAGCACAAACAGATCTGGGACCAGGCTATGTCTGCTAACTCCATTGGGTTCATATAGAGCTCTGAACATACATAAGCAGGCCATCCAAAGAACAATGCTGATTAATCTATGTTTTTGAGGAAACTTTGGATTTATGTGATACAGGTAGGGCCTAGAGTTGTTCCCGGTTAGTGAAAACTCGGGACCTGAAATACTGTATAGTGGTATCTTTTTTAAATTGAACACTTTTGGTCACTGACGTGACATTGTACTGTAAAGTATCTGGTTTGGCTTGTGTAGAAGACTGGGCCATCATGTAGTCATTGTTAATTTCGTCAACAAAAATAGTGACTAAAATATTCGTCAAACACCTATTTTTCAGTAGCAATTGACGAGACTATAACTGACTAAATAGACCCCAGAATTTTTTTTTACGAAAATGATTGTTTCAGTTGACTAAAACGAGATGAGACAAAATTATCTCTGTGACTATAATCTGACTACTAAGTGGACTGGACAACAGTTTTTGGAGAGATTGAGAGCTTTTCAGTGATAAGCACGATAAATATTAGCAGCACAGCAAACACAGCCTTCATCAGCTGGTGAGTTGTGGGGGAGCAAGCAATGAGTGTGGGCAGACAGGCAGACAGGCAGACAGGCTCCACTCTGGCTCCGCCTCTGATTATACACATCACCCAGGCAATACTCTTGCTTCACCTTAACCAGTCACCACCACCAGCCTTCTTAGCTAGAATACTCTTTGCTGGTTAAGAAATACAAGCTGCTTTACCAAATTAAAAACAATAGCAGCATTGAGTTGGCTATAGAAAAGTAGTCTTTGAATTTGTAGTCTCCTTCAACCCTCCCACTTTTCCCACTGCATTTCATATACAGGTTCTGTAGTCAAGTGTCCCTCTTTTCCACAGAGAAAACGGCTTGATTTAAGCCCTTAGGCTACCATTCAATAGACAGGACCCATAATACCGGCGCTCCATTTATCTTTCTTCTATCATGCACTGGCAGGCCACATTTTACATTCATAAAGCATATTGCAGGTCATTCTAAAACTAGGCTACTTGCGGACCGGACCGTTAACCAGTTGTTTAGGCTACACCTTGTTCAGTCATGTTACTTCATTAGCTATAGCTAACTACCAGTAGCCTATATGCAAACATTTTCTGGCACAGAAAGGAAAATGGATAGCAAACAATTTATTGACAAAGTTATTCTAGACACCACGCTAAATCTGACTGGGTAAATAACTATATTTTGAGTTAATGTGTGGACCCAGTGACTCAGACTCAAGCACTGGGACTCGGACTTCAACCATAGGGACTCGTGACTCGACTTGTGACTTGGACTCGAGCACAGGGAACTTGGGACTCGATTCAGACTCGAGGTTTAGTGACTCATTTTAATAACTGGGCAAAACAGTTATTAGCTCCCTTCCAAAATCATTAGCCCCTGTTCTACTTTTGGAGATCAATGTGGCATCTGTGGAACATTGATAACATTGGTAATGACACGACCGAGTGATGGAGGTGCAACCCATACTTTGCGGCACCATCTGGTGATTGAGTATGTTGAGCCAGGGTGTTAGTTTCTATGTTTTGTTGTGGGTTCTAGGTTATTGTATTTCTTTGTTTGAGTGACTCCCAATCAGAGGTAACGAGTGTCAGCTGTTGGCTCGTTGTCTCTGATTGGGAGCCATATTTAACTATCTGTCTTTCACGTTGTGTTTGTGGTTTCTTGTTCATTTCGGTTTGTGTGAAACCGTAGACGTCACGTTTTCGTTTGTGTTTTTGATCGTGTGATCATCTATAGTAATAAAATATGTTCACCTTCAACGCTGCGCATTGGTCCTCTATGTTAGACGATCGTGACAGAAGAAACCACCAAGATGGGACCAAGCAGCGTGTTCAGGAGCCATCGCCAGGGAGATCCCTCACAGATCTCCTTCGCCTCCTGGACTGGGTCAAGCCGAGGGAGGAAGACAAGGGCTTGACATTATGGCAGAAGGGCGAGAAGCTGGCGAGGGATATGGAGACGTGGTCCACGGGTAGGAGAGACGCCCCGAAAATTTTTAGGGGGGGGCTCACGACGGCGGACCAGCAGGAGGCCGCGATAGAGCGGTCCAGTGGGTTGCCGGAGAAGGCCGCCGGGTTACGGGGGCCACTGGTAGAAGAGGGGATGGAAGGTGTGGAGGCACGGCGAGAGGTACTGGCGTGTGTTGCCAGTCCGGTCCGGCCCGTTCCAGATCCCGGTGTAGAGCCAGTGGTGTGTGTCCCCAGTACGGTCCGGTCTATTCCTGCTCCCCGCACCGAACCTGCGGTGCGCGTCGCCAGCCCAGTCCGGCCCATTCCTGCTCCCCGCATCAAGCCTGTGGTGCGTCTCGTCAGCCCGGCTCTGCCCGTTCCTGCTCTCCGCACCAGGTCTGTGGTGCGCGTCGCCAGCCCAGTCCGGCCCATTCCTGCTCCCCGCATCAAGTCTGTGGTGCGTCTCGTCAGCCCGGCTCTGCCCGTTCCTGCTCTCCGCACCAGGTCTGTGGTGCGCGTCGCCAGCCCAGTCCGGCCCATTCCTGCTCCCCGCATCAAGTCTGTGGTGCGTCTCGTCAGCCCGGCTCTGCCCGTTCCTGCTCTCCGCACCAGGTCTGTGGTGCGCGTCGCCGGCCCGGTCCGGCCCGTTCCTGCTCCCCGCATCAAGTCTGTGGTGCGTCTCGTCAGCCCGGCTCTGCCCGTTCCTGCTCTCCGCACCAGGTCTGTGGTGCGCGTCGCCAGCCCAGTCCGGCCCACTCCTGCTCCCAGCACCAAGTCTGTGGGGCGTTTCGTCAGCCCTGTCCGGCCCGTGCCTGTTCCCCACACCAAGCCAGTGGTGTGCGTCGTCGGTTCGGCACGGCACGTGCCTGTTCCACTGGAGCCGGATCCGCCGCCTAGGCGGAGTGCCCACCCGGTCCCTCCCCTGTTGTGTTTCGTTGGCGCGGTCGGAGTCCGCGCCTTTAGGGGGGGGTACTGTCACGCCCTGGCTCGGGGGACTCTCGTATGTTGAGCCAGGGTGTTAGTTTCTATGTTTTGTTGTGGGTTCTCTCTTGTCTGTTTGTTTTGTATGTAATGTGCAATATCTATGTAGGCTGAATTAGGAATTTACATGGCCAGATAATTGTTATATAATATAATTATTATATATGTTTGTCATGTTTCTGCTGTTGGGAAGAGAATAGGATGTTATGCAGAAAAATATGTCAGTAGGACAATGTTATGTATGTTTGTGCACATGGAAGTAAGTGATTTGTGTTTACTATAAATTGAGGCAAATGTGATGTGACTACAATGTAACTAAAATGAAAGGGGATTTAGTTGACTAAAATGGCCCACTGTTTTTGTCATTTTGACAATAACTAGACTAAATAGTTATTCAAATTACAAAAATATGACTAAGACTTAATGGTATTTTAGTCAAAATGACTAAGAAAAGACTAAATCTAAAAAAAGAGTGCCAAAATGAACACTGCATGGAGTATTTTCTCTTTATCTTTTGGAAAGAGTTTCTAGCGAAGAAGGTATAATGGTGAATTAATGCACCTTTATATTTGTCATATTTTGACAAATAGTGCTGATATAAATTATATTGTTTACATTAATGTACATTATTTTGATGTAATTTCTATTCAAAATGAGAAAAAAAACTATGCAACACTTTTATACCTGATGATGCTTCCTGTTTCTTTCTAATGCGGATACAGCACTCAAGGAAGAAGCTGCAGCAAATCTAAAAACAAAAGACATTATCCACTCCATATAGGAGTGAAACACTGCCAAGATGTCCTCCCAAGTGGTGCAGTGGTCTAAGGCACTGCATTGCAGTGCTAGCTGTGCCACTAGAGATCCTGGTTCAAATCCAGGCTTTGTCGTAGCCAGCCGTGACCGGGAGACACATGGGGCGGCGCACAATTGGCCCAGCGCCGTCCAGGGTAGGGGAGGGAATGGCCAGCAGGGATGTAGTTCAGTTGGTAGAGCATGGCGTTTGCAACGCCAGGGTTGTGGGTTCGATTCCCACGGGGGGCCAGTATGAAAAATAAAACAATAATGTATGCACTCACTAACTGTAAGTCGCTCTGGATAAGAGCGTCTGCTAAATGACTTAAATGTAAATGTAAGATCCCCTTTGTCACAGTGTCTTGAATGAATTGTTCCTAAGGTAGGCTGTGTATGCTACCAAATTCAATTAATTAGATTCAGAGCCACCTCTTCATATACACTCACTAAAACATTTTGCCTCCAGGGTGGGGGGCCCCCCGACCAAATCTCTCTTAGGGCGCCCAAAAGTTTGCTGTCTACTATAAACCCACATACAACATGGACCGCATACTCTTACTTATCATGTTAATGTACATACAGACAGGCCTAGCACCCACTAGACCTGGCGAGTTTAGCGTTAGCAGTAGGCTGGCTAGGTGGTTTTGTAACAGTTGGTACTGTATAACCATTTCAATCCCAAAGGTATTCCCAAAGGTGTGCAACACAAAACAACTCTGTGGGAATCATGTTAAAATGGCGCACAGTAAGTGTATCTGTAATTATTTTGGAGCGATATGAAAGTAGAGTTTCTGGGGTTTCCAAAACCGCATTGCAAGCGATGATTATTAACGGTTAGACAAAGCGTCAGGACTGTTGTACACATTGGCAGCGCTGTGGTCAATGGTTTGAATGAGAACTCAATGGCTGTATGGCGCTCTAGAGAGCTAGCTTAGTTCTGACTCCTCCAGCCCAATAAGCTTATAGTCCTTTAAGTTGTGCTGACCAAACAATAACATACAAAAAGGAAAATACAAAAGTATTTACACAAACAAACTCAGAGAAGGCCCCGCCATGCCAGGAGGCTCCTGTCCATCTCAAATGAAATTGTATTTGTCACATGCTTCAAATCAAATCAAATGAAATTGTATTGGTCACATACACATTTTTAGCAGATGTTATTGCGGGTGTAGCGAAATGCTTGTGTTTCTAGCTCCAACAGTGCAGTAGTATCTAACAATTCACAACAATACACACAATACACACAAATCTAAAAGTAGAAGAATGGAATTAAGAAATATATATACTAAAATACAGTAGAATATAATAAAATACAGTATATACATATGAGATGAGTAAGGCAAAAATATGTAAACATTATTAAAGTGGCTAGTGTTCCATTATTAAAGTGACCAGTGATTCCAAGGATATGTGTATAGGGCAGCAGCCTCTAAGGTGCAGGGTTGCGTAACCGGGTGGAAGCTGCCTAGTAATGGCTATTTAACAGTCTGATGGCCTTGAGATAGAAGCTGTTTCTGCCCCGGTGATGCATTGGGCAGACCGCAACACCCTCTGGAGAGCCCTGCGGTTGCGGGCGGTGCAGTTGCCATACCAGGCGGTGATACTGCCCGACAGGATGCTCTCAATTGTGCATCTGTTAAAGTTTGTGAGGGTTTTAGGTGCCAAATTTCTTCAGCCTCCTGAGGTTGAAAAGGCGCTATTGCGCCTTCTTCACCACACTGTCTGTGTGGGTGGACCATTTCAGATCATTAGTGATGTGTATGCCAAGGGACTTGAAGCTTTCCACCTTCTCCACTGCGGTCCCATCGATGTGGATAGGGGCGTGCTCCCCCTGCTGTTTCCTGAAGTCCACGAGCTCCTTTGTTTTGTTGACGTTGAGTGAGAGGTTATTTTCCTGGCACCACTTTCCCAGGGCCCTCACCTCCTCCCTGTATGCTGTCTCGTCATTGTTGGTAATCAGGCCTACTACCGTTGTGTCGTCTGCAAACTTGATGATTGAGTTCATAACCAACAGGTGTAAACTAACAGTGAAACGCTTACCTACGGACCCTTCCCAACAATGCAGAGAGAAAAATATAGTACAAATAATAACACAAGGATTAAATACATAATGAGTAAGGATAACTTGGCTATACACAAGGTACCAGTACCGAGTCGACTAGGCAAAAGTATATATAATAAACAGTAGCAGCAGCGTTTGTTATGAGTCAAAAGAGTTATATAGTTAGATGTAGATAGTCTGGGTAGCTATTTGGTTAACTATTTAGTAGTGTTATGGCTTAGGGGTAGAAGCTGATTAGGGTCCTGTTGGTTCCAGACTTGGTGCATTGGGTACCGCTTGTCGTGCGGTAGAAGAGAGAACAGTCTGTGACTTGGGTGGCTGGAGTCTTTTACAATTTTTAAGGCCTTCCTCTGACACCGCCTGGTATAGAGGCCATGGATGGCAGGGAGTTCGGCCCAAGTGATGTACTGGGCCGTACGCACTACCCTCTGTAGAGTCTTGCAGTCGGATGCCAAGCAGTTGCCAAACCAAGCGGTAATGCAGCCAGTCATTATGCTTTCAATGGTGCAGCTGTATAACTTTTTGAGGATCTGAGGGTCCATGCTGAAAACTTTTCAGCCTCCTGAGGGTGAAGAGGCATTATCGTGCCTACTTCGCAACTGCGTTGGTGTGTGTGGAACATGTTAATTACTTAGTGATGTGGATACCGAGGAACTTGAAGCTCTCGACCCGCTCCACTACAGCCCCGTCGATGTGGATGGGTGCTCGGCCCTCCGTTTCCTGTAGTCCACCTTCAGCTCCTTTTCTTGCTAACGTTGAGGGAGAGGTTGCTGTCCTGACACCACACTGCCAGTTCACTGACCTCCTCTCTATAGGCGGTCTCATTATCGTAGGTGATCAGGCCTACCACCGTCGTGTCGTCAGCAAACTTAATGATGGTGTTGGAGTCATGCGCGGCCACACAGTCGTGGGTGAACCGGGAGTACAGGAGGGGACTAAGCACGCACCCCTGAGGGCCCCCCGTGTTGAGGGTTAGCGTGGCGGATGTGCTGTTGCCTACCCTCACCACCTGGGGGCGGCCCGTCAGAAAGTCCAGGATCCAGTTGCAGAGGAAGGTGTTCAGTCACAGGGTCCTTAGCTTAGTGATGAGCTTGGTGGGCACTATGGTGTTGAAGGCTGAGCTGTAGTCAATGAACAGCATTTTCACACAGGTGTTCCTCTTGTCCAGGTGGGAGAGGGCTGTGTGGAGTGCAATAGAGATTGCTTCATCTGTGGATCTGTTGGGGCAGTATGCCCGTCACTGTTACTTGCTGTTTGAGTTTTTGCTTGTAAGCAGGAATCAGGAGGGTAGCGTTATGGTCAGATTTGCCAAATGAGGTGCGAGGGAGAGCCTTGTATGCGTTTGTGTGTTGGAGTAATGGTGATTTAGAGTTTTGTTTCCTCTAGTTGCACAGGTGACATGCTGGTAAAAATGAGGTAAAACGGATTTCAGTTTCCCTGCATTAAAATCACTGGCCACGAGAAGCGCCTCCTTTGGATGTGTATTTTCTTGTTTGCTTATGGCCCTATACAGCTCGTTGAGTGCGGTCGTAGTGCCAGCATCGGTTTGTGGCGGTAAATAGATAGCTACTGATTGCCAAACACACACACACCTGTGGAATCATCACTTATCAAGGCTTCCTGGAAGAGGTCAGCACCTGACCCGGTTACTGCTGCCACCTAGAGATGGAGTGTGGAAGTGCAGTGTCCCAAACCAGCCCCTCGCCCCTACCTACTCGCTCGGTGGGCCCTCCCTTGTACCTTGTTCACTGACGAAACTCAAAGGTTGACTTCCAGAGTGGCAAGCGGATCAAATAAACCCATAAACCTTGGGACACACTGGTGACTTGAATGATGCAATTCATGCTCCATATTTAAATAATAAAACAAGCATGAAATTCAAATGAACATATCCCCCCTGTACTTTTACAAGATGTAAACCTCAGTAACAGTTAAATATTTAATTTGGGTGGAATTTCATTTCTTACATGTGTCAAGCCTCGAAATCAGACACAAACAAATGCACGTGACATATAATTAGGCACGCCTCTCCATTCTTTTGAATGAAATTACGCAAACTCCAAACACATTGCAGTGCATGTTGGGATATCACTTCGCCTGGAGTCTCCAGCCTTGCTGGTTTGGTCGAAGTGGCTATCGGAGGTTCTAATTAGCACCTACACCCTCAATTATTTTCACTCCCTCAGCTTTGGGACACTTGTGCATATGGCGGAGGTGTACGTGAACGCCCAAATGGAGAGCCGAGGAGTGAGGGGAAGGGGCTGGTTTGGGATTCAGCCTACCTGTACACCTAACTACTAACTAACCTTAACTAACCTCCATTTGTAACACAAGGAAGCACATTTAGAAGAAAATCTACCTTAAACCATGAGGACGAGTCAATGTTCTACAAGATTTTTCATCTTTAATATTTTTCTATGAACATCAGAATTACAATCTTGTGTAGCTGCCCCACTACCTCAACACAGTAGTATAGTAACCCAGAGCACTAAAGTGTTTCTTTATATATAACCTTTGTTACAGTACAATATTTACGAAATTCTGAGATTAAATCACTGGAATTATACTTTTTTTTTTTTTTTATCTTAGGGAGAGGGATAACATACAGTAATCATGCTGTAGCATGTGAAAAATAGATAACAATTCAACCTATAACTAGTGTACAGTATATCCTTGGCCTCTGTACCATGTTAAGGCAAAGTAAGCATGTTGGAAGCCACTTATTTTTATATATATATATATATATAACCTGTATAATCAACATTGAAAATAAACTAAATATGTCCATCAAAACAAACTTTCTACCCAGAAAGAGTCAGACACTGTAAGTGATAGTCCACATTAAGTAAACTGTGTGTACAGTAATCAAACAATTACACAGTTTCAATTAAACATAGTTTAAATAATCTAAAACATTTCTTAGGGGCCTAAATTCCAACATCTCACACAATAAACTGATTAAAAAACAAAGAAAATAGATAAAAACATGGTAACAAAGAACAAAGAAATGAAAGATGACATTCAAATATTCAATTCTCAGAGTGAGAAAATAGAGCATATTGATGTGTATGCATTGTTGATTGCTGTGTGTATGTCTTTGTGTGAGTGCGTATGCGTATGCATTCATGCGTGCATTTGTGTATTCGTCTCAGATCATGTATTGCTATGCTTTCTTTTTTTCAACAAAGAGAACATAAATAAGATTAAGTACAGTAACATCAGGACAGCTGTCAATTATCTACAATCGTACGCTCATATGACAAAATAAACCGAATTTTATATAAAGAATAGTGTGACAGTTGGTACCTTTGTATTCTTTAAATCGGCCACAAAACGAAACATTCAATGTAAACATTGCACTACATAGTTTTTTAAAGATTTGGGAAGGCTAAACATTTTCAGTGAACTCCTGGTAGTATAACAATATTCGTTATACTCCAAGACCGCCAGCACAGTATTTGCAAAATATATAAGCCTACTTCAACATATATAATATACTGTCACTCACACGCTACGCACTGTACGTCAAATCACCTCTAAAGCCTCCTCAACAAATACCAACATATATTTTGTTATTCATTTATTTTTAACATCTTTTTTGTTTTTTGTTTTTACAAAAATTGCAGTTTGACATCATGTCTGCAGAGGAACTATAATTTGTGCAAAAGTCTACCATGAGGCAGACCCCTTGCACTGGAACATCGGGATTGGCCCTTTACAACAGACCTCCAACCAATAGCGTCACAAGCTGTGGAGGGAAGCTCTACCCCTTTGCAATTTACTCTCTCCTGAATGGTACCGCTCTACCTGCAGCCTGTACCAACTCCTCAGACCTTTGACGCCTCTTCCGACCTCCTCATGACCTCCAGATGACATCCTGACCTCTAGCTCTGACCTCTGATTGGCCTTTAGAAGACCCAGCTGACAGGAACCCACTGCTGCTCTGAGCCCAGTCTCTCCAGCGCCGTCTTCAGGCCGCAGAAGGCCCCCTCCAGGCTGTCGTTGATGATGTTCAGGTCAAAGTAATGTCCGTAGGCCCGCTGGATCCTCTCGCTCTCATCCACTGTCCTCTTCAGCTCTGAGTCCTGCATGGGAAGAACAACAGGGTGATGATAGTGGTCATCATGGACAACTATGACTTGTTTGCGTATGAATAATTGGGCCCATTCAAAAAGCATCTCAGAGTAGACGTGCTGATCTAGGATCAGATCCTCCCTGTCCATACAATCTTATTGATTGTGATCTAAAAGGCCAAACTGATCCCATGGCATGACTGGGAAGGTAACAAGGGACGATGTAAACACTGAGATTGGTGGTCCACAGTCAGAAATTAATTGGCATGAATGGGCTTATTAAAGATGATGAATTGCTAGGGTTAATGCATTTTGAACATACCAACCCTACATTTTACTGAGTGTCTAACAACATGGTCTGCTAACAGTAACAGGACCAATGATGTAGCTGTAATACAACTGTCCAGTCTGTCTGGGACTCACCGTTAACTGTTTGGTCATCACGCCGGCTTCTTTGGCAGACTTATTCATGGCTTTGAGGACCTCATAATCTGGAGCCTCAATAAACACCACGTAGGGAAGGAACTCTGACGTCCGCAGGACCTTAAGTGCCTGCAGCAAGGAATTCAATAGTTGAAAAGTAGCTGTAATAATATATTATTATTAGATCCTAATGACGTAACGAGCTAATCAAATTGGCCATGAATCACTTGAAAATGTGTCTCCTTAAAGGATTCCATTCCTTCAGTTTCAGCTCTGTAATTCAATCTCTGGCTTTAGTTAAACTATGAGAACATTATATATTACATTTATGTCTTAGTCATTTAGCAGACGCTCTTATCCAGAGCGACTTACAGTTAGTGAGTGCATACATAATTTTTTCATACTGGCCCCCCATGGGAATCGAACCCACAACCCTGGCATTGCAAACGCCATGCTCTACCAACTGAGCTACATCCCTGCCGGCCATTCCCTCCCCTACCCTGGACGACACTGGGCCAATTGTGCGCCGCCCCATGGGTCTCCAGGTCGCGGCCGGCTACGACAGAGCCTGGATTCGAACCAGGATCTCTAGTGGCACAGCTAGCACTGCGATGCAGCGCCTTAGACCACTGCGCCACTCGGGATAATATTAACCCTATTACTTTACTGATCTATGTGCCGAAGTTTGGCATAGTGGTAATGCAGCCAACAATCTCAACAAAACAATAAAATACGAAGGGGGGACAGAATTCAGTTGTCCTTTAAAATAAAAAACGGTAAAGATCAACCTCTTCCCTGGACATTGATACCATTTTTTTTTTATAGAGGATAATATCTGAATGAACAAAGATCCCCAGATACTATAGTCTACCTGTGGGTTGACATCCAGGATGCAGATCTTGCCAGCATCCACCACCTCGTGGATGGAGTTGATTTTGGTGCCATAGAGGTTCCCGTCGTACTCGCCGTGCTCCAGGAAGCGCCCGTTCTTAATGTCCAAATCCATCTCACTGCGAGTCATGAACGAGTACATCTGTCCATCCTTCTCATCCATCTTGGGTTTCCTCGAGGTAACTGGTGATAAAGACAGATTGATGGTTGTTGTTTGGTTACGTACATTAAGGTATAGCAACCGACAAATACAGTGCTGAACAACGCACACAGAATCACAAATGTAGTCTTTGTATCTCATAGAAATGTGTATACCGTATTTGTATTTTTTAATTGTTTATGTTTTTTTGTATACTTTTCTAATATGGCATAGATTACAGAAAACCAGAGTAAATCAAAGTGTCAGTGTTAGTGGCTCTGTCAGTGTTGAACGTTAGTACTACTCACAGGGGATGGTGGTCCCATAGCGCATGGGGTCTGACACCAACAGTTTGTTCTTCAGACTACGGCGGCCCACTCCCTGTGCTCCAATCAGAACCAACGTCTTCCGACGGAAAGGGGAAACCTTGGCCACCTCCTCGTAGATCCTCAGCTCGTGCCGATCAAACTCTGAACAGTCAACATATTCATATCAGATACCCGCATTACTAACGGTATTACTTTACCTAATCTAATTAATGCTGCACATACACAATCTAGCATACTGCATTGACAAGAGTTTACACTTTTGTCTAACAATGTTTACAAGTAAAGACTACATTCGCAGCAGTTTCAAACATTGTTACGTTTACAAATTGGCATTTTGGTGCAAAAAACGTACCTGCATTTTTGGTCGTTAAATACATCATCTTTTTTTTCTTCTTCCCACCCATTCCAGAACAAAGAGGACCTGAGAAAGGCAACACACAAAATGTTCGGTCTTCATTCAGTACTTCTCAACCCACTTCAATTGAGTCTTTATCTATTTAATGAACAGCGCCTGCCATTCAGGGTCTGTTGCCTTTTACAGTGTTGCTGTTCTGAATCGTAAATCCGGTCTGCTGAGGGTGCAATAGATAGCATGTACCACCAGAGGGCAGTATGCCTATGCATTACAGTAAGGATGGCAGTTCCATTTGATTACAACAGTACAACTGGGAATCACTGTCACTGCCCAGTCGTCTCTTCAGTATAGCTGGCAGGTGGGCTTTGAGGACGTTTGTTTGAAGCAGGGACAACAATGGGCATGACATAACCTTTTGATGTGTGTCTCTTTGTTGAGTAGATATCGACACAGTGGATCAATATGTTGATGGAATGCATTAAAAGAGCTGGCCCTTTGACAATGATCACTTCTGCTTTTTAAATATGGCTCGATCACATTGAAATCGTGATCATATACTGCATGCTGGTTCCAATGGCTCAGTCAGTAGGACCATGGCAACACTACTGTTGTGTGTTTGATTCATATATTGACTTTATACAATCAATACAAGTAGCTTGGGATTTTATATCATATACTGCGTGAATAGCCCCCACAAGTGTCTACAACAGGCCCAAGAGCAGTCTTAGCACCTTAGCTGACTGCCACCTACTGAAGTTACTTTTACTAGACACTCTGGGAGTTACAGTAGTGAGTGAATACATTTTCATATTTTTTTCTGGTTCCACATGGGAATCAAACCCACAACCCTGGCGTTGCAAGCGCCATGCTCTACCAACTGAGCCACAGGGGACAAGTGAAGTGAATGTAGCTGCAGGCTGACTCACCACCCACCATCTGTCCTAGTGTGCTACAGTAGGAATGTGACCTGACCCCTCTGTTTAGAATGAGCTTAATGAGGAACAGATTGAATCAGCCTGCCTTAGAGAGTCATATCTCTCTAAGCCTGCTGCTTATTGCTAGTCCCTCTTCACTGATGAAACAACCGTCTTGAAGGTTGACTGGGGGACAAGCAGGCGGCTAAAGCGTATACGTGCACAGTGTACACACAAAACACCCAGAGCAACAAACCTTTCTATTGTCTCCATTGTCTCCATCATGCTTCATGTTATTTTTGTTTTGTGGACCATATTTTTGCACATTCAGACAATAAAAAAGTATCATCATACCTTATCCCATTTGAGTTTTTCTTGCCTTATGTTATTTCCATGACAAATGTCGAGGAGTAAATGTTTTCAACTTAGGAATTGAGAGCGTTATCTTTAATGTGTAGAAGATGTTAAGCTACTTTGTGTCCTCCAGCCCTTATGGGTTATAATACAGTATAAGGAATAATGCATATATAATTTACAGTACCTGTTGTAACCAGCTCCAGATCTCTCTTAACGAAAGCCTTCCTCTTCTCCTCCAAGAGCTGGCTGGGGATGAGGCCTGCACTGCCCCCCTCCAGGTGACATGCCTGTGATGGAAATAAATACATAAAGCTGTTCTATCACTACATTAAACAACAATACATTGAAAACTATTTAGGATGAACACGATAAAGTGAAAGACTTAAGAGTGGTTGTCCATTAGAAGTGACTGACCTGCCACCAGTTGAGGTCCTCCTGGTTGAAGATCTGCAGAATGTCTCCACTGCTGAAGCCCAGGCCTGCCTCCTTACAGGGGATTAGGTTGTCATGGGACGGGTCGTAGTCAAAGTGACACTTCACATATGCCTGAGGAAGATGGAGAGGGAGCTTGGTGGTAGGTCAAATCAAATCAAATCAAATGTTATTTGTCAAATGCACCGAGTACAACAGGTGTAGACCTTACCGTGAAATGCTTATTTACAAGCCCTTAACCAACAATGCAGTTCAAGAAATAGACAATAATGAGGGGGGTACGGGTACCGAGTCAATGTGCGGGCTTACAGGTTAGTCGAGGTAAGGGGTAAAGTGACTATGCATAGATAATAAACAGCGAGTAGCAGCAGTGTAAAAACAAAGGGGGAGGGGGTCAATGTAAATAGTCCGGGTGGCCATTTGATTATTTGTTCAGCAGTCTTATGGCTTGGGGGTAGAAGCTGTTAAGGAGCCTTTTGGACCTAGACTTGGCGCTCCGGTACCGCTTGCCATGTGGTAGCAGAGAGAACAGTCTATGACTTGGGTAAATGGAGTCTTTGACAATTTTTTGGGCCTTCCTCTGACACCATCTAGTATATAGGTCCTGGATGGCAGGAAGTTTGGCCCCAGTGATGTACTGGGCCATACGCACCACCCTCTGTAGCGCCCTATGGTCGGATGCTGAGCAGTTGCCAAACCAGGCGGTGATGCAACCGGCAGGATGCTCTCGATGGTGCAGCTGTATAACTTTTTGAGGATCTGGGGACCCATGCCAAATCTTTTCAGTCTCCTGAGGGGGAAAAGGTGTTGTCGTGCCCTCTTCACGACTGTCTTGGTATGTTTGGACCATGATAGTTTGTTGGTGATGTGGACAACAAGGAACTTGACATTCTCGACCCGCTCCACTACAGCCCTGTCGATGTGAATGGGGGCGTGTTCGGCCCTCCTTTTCCTGTAGTCCACGATCAGCTCCTTTGTCTTGCTCATGTTGAGGGAGAGGTTGTTGTCCTGGCACCACACTGCCAGGTCTCTGACCTCCTCCCTATAGGCTGTCTCATCGTTGTCGGTGATCAGGCCTACCACTGTTGTGTCGTCAGTAAACTTAATGATGGTGTTGGAGTCGTGCTTGGCCACGCAGTCGTGGGTGAACAGGGAGTACAGGAGGGGACTAAGCACGCATCCTTGCGGGGCACCCGGGTTGAGGATCAGCGTGGCAGATGTGTTGTTGCCTACCCTTACCACCTGGGGGCAGCCCGCCAGGAAGTCCAGGATCCAGTTGCAGAGGGAGGTTTTTAGTCCCAGGGTCCTTAGCTTAGTGATGAGCTTTGTGGCCATCATGGTGATGAACGCTGAGCTGTAGTCAATGAACAGCATTCTCACATAGGTGTTCCTTTTGTCCAGGTGGGAAACGGCAGAGTGGAGTGCAACTGAGATTGAGTCATCTGTGGATCTGTTGGGGCGTTATGCGAATTGGAGTGGGTCTAGGGTTTCTGGGATGATGGTGTTGATGTGAGCCATGACCAGCCTTTCAAAGCACTTCATGGCTACCGACGTGAGTGCTACGGGGCGGTAGTCATTTAGGCAGGTTACCTTCGCTTTCTTGGGCACAGGGACTATGGTGGTCTGCTTGAAACATGTAGGTATTACAGACTCGGTCAGGGAGAGGTTGAAAATGTCAGTGAAGACACTTGCCAGTTGGTCCGTGCATGCTCTGAATTCACATCCTGGTAATCCGTCTGGCCCTTGGCCTTGTGAATGTTGACCTGTTTAAAGGTCTTGCTCACATCGGCTACGGAGACCGTGATCACACAGTCGTCCGGAACAGCTGGTGCTCTCATGCATGCTTCAGTGTTGCTTGCCTCAAAGCAAGCATAAAAGGCATTTAGCTCGTCTGGTAGGCTCACGTCACTGGGCAGCTCGCGGCTGGGTTTCCCTTTGTAGTCCGTAATAGTTTGCAAGCCCTGCCACATCCGACAAGCATCAGAGCCGGTGTAGTAGGATTAAATCTTAGTCCTGTCTTGACGCTTCGCCTGTTTGATGGTTCGTCTGAGGGCATAGCGGGATTTCTTATAAGCTTCCGGGAGTCCCGCTCCTTGAAAGCGGCAGCTCTAGCCTTTAGCTCGGTGCGGATGTTGCCTGTAATCCATGGCTTCTGGTTGGGATATGTACATACGGTCACAGAGGGAACGACGTCGTTGATGCACTTATTGATGAAGCCGGTGACAGAGGTGGTATACTCCTCAATGCCATTGGATGAATACCGGAACATATTCCGGTCTGTGCTAGCAAAACAGTCCTGTAGCGTAGCATCCGCGTCATCTGACCACTTCCATATTGAGCAAGTCACTGGTACTTCCTGCTTTAGTTTTTGCTTGTAAGAAGGAATCAGGAGGATAGAATTATGGTCAGATTTGCCAAATGGAGGGTGAGGGAGAGCTTTGTATGCGTCTCTGTGTGTGGAGTAAAGGTGGTCTAGAGTTAATTTTCCTCTGGTTGCACATGTGACATGCTGGTAGAAATTTGGTAAAATGGTTTTAAGTTTGCCTGCATTAAAGTCCCCGGCCACTAGGATGAGCATTTTCTTGTTTGCTTATGGCCTTATACAGCTCGTTGAGTGCGGTCTAAGTGCCAGCATCGGTTTGTGGTGGTAAATAGACGGCTACGAAAAATATAGATGAAAACTCTCTTTGTAGATAGTGTGGTCTACAGCTTATCATGAGGTACTCTACCTCAGGCGAGCAATACCTCGAAGACTTCCTTATATTTGACATCGGGCACCAGCTGTTATATGTCGTCGTTCACCCACGACTCGGTGAAACATAAGATATTACAGTTTTTAATGTCCCGTTGGTAGGGTAGTCTTGAACAGAGCTCATCCAGTTTATTCTCCAGTGATTGCACGTTGGCCAATAAAACGGTTGGTAGAGGCGGGTTACCCACTCGCCGACGAATTCTCACAAGGCACCACGATCTCGGAGAAGCAGTATATCCTTTGCGTCGGACTCATTAAAGAAAAATGATTTGTCCAGTTCGAGGTGAGTAACCGCTGTCCTGATATCCAGAAGCTCTTTTCGGTCATAAGAGACAGTAGCAGCAACATTCTGTACAAAATAAGTTACAAACAATGCGAAAAAACACACAAAATGGCACAGTTGGTTAGGAGCCTGTAAACCGGCAGCCATCCCCTCCGGCACCATTATCAGAGCTTGAGTAGAGGTATTTGTATTTATTAAGGATCCCCATTAGCTGCTGCCAAGGCAGCAGCTACTCTTCCTGGGGTCCAGCAACATTAAGACAGTTATATACAGTTAAAAATATTACATGACATTACATTTCATAACACTTTACCCAATACATTTAGTGCGTTCCCTCAGGCCACTACTCCACTCTCACATATTTACAATACACAATACAACATCCATGTGTACGTTTGTGAAGAGTGCGTGTCTTATCATGTGTGTCATAATATATAATATCCATTGCTCAATATACTGCTTATTACAAAATGCAAAGTTGAACACTTTAGTACATTATAGTCAAACTACCGTAGTTTACATGCCATACTACTATAAACACAATCTTGTCAACCAGTGTGTGGTCTCAATGGTCCCTGGTGAATAGCTACAGTATCTGCTCAAGACCATATAAATCAGACGGCCTTGCTCACTTGAAACGTATTCATCTGCCTCTTACTTTCCCAGACATTACAAAGCTAGAGCACCACCCATGTATCCCTTCTCCTAAAAATGGAAAAGTCGAAAGGAGGTAGAGCCAAAACGGGTAGCCATGGCAACCGTTTCCTATGCTCTACAGTGATTTCCAAAGCCAGTGAGTTGAAGCGTGAATTAAATGCTCCCCTCAGCCCCTGAGATACTCTAGCCCCCATCACCCCTTCTACAGTGACTTTAGCACCGTGGCACTAGGAGTCAGAGAGGGCACTGGGTAAAAGGAGTTGTCTACTTAGCTTGGTCACCTCAGCATACACCAGAACACAGTACAGAGAGATGGTTATTGTTGATACTGTGTAATATACAGAGTTGAACATCTCTTTAATGGACTGGATTTATTAAGCACTTAAGGGGAATATATTATCTACTATCAACATGTACTGTAGCACCCACCTGCACGTAGATCCTTATATGGGAATGGAATTGTGTTTTGACAAACAGTTTTTCTCATGGTTGGCAACGTGCTGTGATGATGGAACAGTTTTCAGATGCAAGGGAAATGTCTGTACAAACAGACAATCGTCTCTTATCTGTCATCTTTCTCCCTTTCAGAGATAACATTCTGCAGCAGCTCTCGGTTTGGACAGCTTGAAGTCGCCTCCGGCAATCAAAATAATTCAAAATGGACCCTCGTTGGTCGTCAGGAAGAAATTCAAGACAGTAACCTCTTTTGTTGTCCGAACCTTTTGAAATGCGGCCAAAATGATTTCTAAAGGAATAGCCCAGATCTGATGTTATCCAGTCAGCCATGAGGGGCCGATTCAAAGGCACTCTTTCAAAAGGGCGTCTGGCCCAGGGCCGCTGTCCAGCTCATATTGGGCCTTGGCAGGTCAGTGGAACGGATGGACAGTATAGAACTGTGGGGTATTGGCATTACATGAATTACTGTTATTTGAGACAGGTGTGAGTTTTTCCTTGTTCTCCTTCATTTGGGCCATGCTGTCGCTGTGTACATTCAGTCTATCACACTCTTTGGCTCCTTAGAGACCCTGTGTCCATTAGCTAGTCTCCAGGGTTAAACACTCACAAGGCTAAGGACACTATACCAACAACAAATTCAAAGAATGGGCCTCTAAATGGAAAGGGATTAAGTTTAAGAGGACTTATAGTAACCAGTAATGTGTTTTGGGTCTATTCCTTGAGGGTGCATACTAAGGGGAACAATCCACCATTTCGAATAACTTACTAACTGTAAAAGTTACAACTCTTGCAAATGGTGTGCAAGTCTTAAAAACTCTTATATACAACATTTTTTGTCAGCTGAAATGCTGAGGCTGTGGCTGGAAATCATACATCACACATCGAAACATTTTCCTTGTAGTTGGA